TATATTAAAACTGTAATATTTACATGTACTAACGATAATTGATTGAAATCTGTCCCATCTCCATCCTATATTAAAACTGTAATATTTACATGTACTAACGATAATTGATTGAAACCTGTCCCATCTCCATCCTATATTATAATTGTAATATTTACATGTACTAACGATAATTGATTGAAATGAAACCTGTCCCATCTCCATCCTATATTAAAACTGTAATATTTACATGTACTAACGATAATTGATTGAAACCTGTCCCATCTCCATCCTATATTAAAACTGTAATATTTACATGTACTAACGATAATTGATTGAAACCTGTCCCTCTCCATCCTATATTATAACTGTAATATTTACATGTACTAACGATAATTGATTGAAACCTGTCCCATCTCCATCCTATGTTAAAACTGTAATATTTACATGTACTAACGATAATTGATTGAAATCTCTCCCATCTCCATCCTATATTAAAACTGTAATATTTACATGTACTAACGATAATTGATTGAAATCTCTCCCATCTCCATCCTATATTAAAACTGTAATATTTACATGTACTAACGATAACTGATTGAATATCATTATGATTAAGTATTTAAATGTTAAGAAATGTTCCACCAAACACCTATAGGGCGCAGTAGTAAGATAGTTAGACAGATTTCCTGTATAGCAATATATAATAGAATAGTTTCAGCAGTGTTTACAAAATTATGATATCGAAGAGTCTGAACTTTACCTGCTCTGTTCTCTCATGGTCAGTCAACATTGTTTTTTTTTTTTTTTTTTTTTTAAAACTAAAGATTCAAATGCGTTTTAGGATTTTTGTAAACAGAGAGAAAACCATCAAAAGCTAGGAGCCAAAAAAAAAAAAAAAAAACGAAGGGGAGAACTTTCTTATATTAATGACGAAAACTGGTTAAACATAAAAGCACCGCCTTTACAAATTCATTAAAAACGATTAAGTCTTCCGCCATATTGTAAGTACAAACTCATTCCTTTTTAAAGCAAAACGAAAAGATAGTCGTCTCTACAACCTGTGTAACACTGGAAAGGAAACTATTGTACATTTATGTTGAAAATTTGCTAAATTCCAAAATCTAATACAACGTCTAAATATGTTGCCTTCCTTTATTTATACATTTTTCAGTAAATAAACAAACATACATATGTACCATTTTTAGTGAGATCAGTCAAAACAACACGTCAGCAGACTAGATAAAGTTGACAAGAAGATAATTCAGCATATAAGAAGCTATGTAAATCGACCTGAATAACCTAAGCCTGACAATTATACTAATGTCCTAGATTATACAACATATCAACAGGGTGCGCTTAATTATCATTAAAAAGTTAATTAAACAGATTAACAGACCCTGTTGGATTTACACATCTCATATAGTTTAACTTCATGCAAAAAAATAAGAGAAATTTGTTAAATACATGGAATAAAGACACGGTTAACACGCACTCAGATGGAAGCGCAAGAGTGTAAAAGCTCAGCAGACCGTTAGGGACAGGACACCTAACAGGGATAAGGTGAACACTATTCGGGAGCTTTGTGACAACCCGGGCTTATCGGGAAAATCACACTTGCCTTTTTTTTTCAAGACGTGTCTAGGGCATGCCTTTGTATTATATTTATACAAAAGGGAAAATCTTATTCGCGGTGTTTCAAATTTGTTCCTTTTAAAATACACGAATTTCAGAATACTAACGAAATCAGACAGTAACCTAATGTTGGATATTACATTATGCAAATTGTGAAATTAAACATCGCTCTTTACCTCCGTTTAATTAATTGTAATAAATTATTTTTACATGATATAATTGTGTATCACGGGATAGATAACGTATATTGAACATATGTAAAACATATCTGCAACACCAGAACCCAATACCTTCAAAATCTCACCATATTTCACTTTTTTCGCGAAACTATTGTTACATAATTTGTTATTTTAAACATAAATACCTCTCGATATGTTGGTTTTGTTCTTTGCAGTGAATTTTAAGTGAAATTGTGTACCATGTATGCAAATGAGTGTACACCCACACAGGCGACTTTATGGGACCAATATCAGTAATACACCGAAGGGTGGATGGTGGGCGTGTCTTTCCCTGAAAAGGAGACAATCAAGCGTCACTCAGTCCGATGACAATGACTTTTAGTCTCAGTGACCCTATTGCCGGGCATTGTCCAATCGACTAGAGTCGTTTCTCTGGCGACGTGATGTGACTTCTCCCCTCATGGCCTGGGGATTGACTAGTCTAGTGTTGCACTGTGTCTGGACTTCCGGTGGAGGAGGTTCTATGTCCAGCCCATACTGTCCTATGATTTCAGATAAGGAGAAATTTGAAGTCCTTTCCTAATAGTATATGCAGTTATATTTATGTTGGGCTCCTGTGCGGTGTTAAGCTTACTATTATTATCGATAAGCACAGGAGAATCTTGGTCAGTTCATATCTATTAAAAATACTAAAGGTTCAATAGCATGTTATGATTTTCTTAAACACAGAGAGAGAGAACCGTCAACATTTAAGAGAAAAAAAAAGAATGGGGAACTTTCTGATTTTAACGATGAGAACTGGGTAAACCTTTGCAAATCACTTAGAATGATACACATTACTTTAAGTACATTTTTTTTATTAAAGCGGAATGAAAAGATTGTCCTCTCTGCAAGCTCTGTAACACTGAAAAGGAAACTATTGTGTGCTTTTGTTGAAAGTGTGATCAATTCAAAAATCTTATTCAAAGTCTAGAAACCGTGTCCAAGTATTCATATTCATTTATCAAGATGACGGTGAATGACTACGACTTAACGAGTCGGAAAGTGGATTTGACGGCGTGATATTGCTGCAAGTTTAATTATATTTGTGTCATTGTATTTAAGATTTATTTATTAGACTGTCTAAGTAATCAATAGCTGGTAGTAATGAAGTTTATTCACAGGAGATCATGAACAACATAAGAAAACGTCACGAAATTTGGCCTACCCTCCATGAAAATCACGTTACTTGGCAAGGGCGATAACTCTGTATGCCTTTCAAAGGACAAGTATTCTCCGCTCTGATTGATACATTTTTCATTAAATAAATAAACTTGCATTTTTGATAAGATCAGTTATAACAACGTTTCAATATATAAAGTTGAATTTATTTATTCGTCAATGGCCTTTCAGCAGACGAGATTAAGTTGACAATCAGGTCATTCCGTATATAAAAACATATTTGTACACAGCTTACTTAAACTAAATGCCCAATTCATGTTCAGCATAAAAGCCCAAACTTGTAATAAAGGTGAAATGCTTTCTGTGAAATATGTGTTCGAATGGAAAATATTGAAACAAGTCAATAAAAATAACAGAATAATGCATCTTATTTAAGTAAATTGTTATATATATCACCTGCAGTACGCAATGATAAAATACAACAGAATTCTTGAATTGATAATTTTCACTAAATCAGTTTCCAGTCTCTTACATGATCGTCGTGCATAAGTGTACCAGCCAATACATCTTTCCATCCTGTTCTAAATTACTTCCGGATCACCACCACCCCCATCCCTCAAAATCCCTTTCTAATTTTGTAGCCCAATTTTTTTATACTAGCCCCGCACCCCCCCCCCCCCCCCCTCTCTCTCTCTCTCTCTCTCTCTCTCTCTCTCTCTCTCTCTCTCTCTTATCGTTATCGATTTATTGCTTATGTTAAAATATGTTGAGGAAAGTAAGAAAAGAAAAGTACTGCGATAAGTTATGGCCAATCATTTTGTAAATATTTATTTGCAATCAAATATTTTTAAATCAAACGAATGTTTTAAATCAGTTATAATGTTTTGCTTGAAACTAGATCTATACTGGCTTTCTTCCACTGTCCCAGAAATCTACGTGTGTTAACCGAAAACAAATACCTGTCATTATCGCCATTTTCTCGAGGTTATAATAGATATGTCTATTTAGACCAGTATGAGTGACCTAGCCATGACAATTATACTAAGGGGCCCTAGATCATACCGTATATCGACATAATGCAATTTACAGCAGTAATAAATGTTAGACAAACTTATTTGAAGACGGGCCCTATTGGAATCGCTCATCTCATATAGTTTAACCTGATGCATAGAATTTCCGTAATATTCTATGGTGGGCGCGTCTTTGTCTACACCTCAAAAAGCACTTTGTCCAAACTTGCAAGACAGGACGGTGGGCGTCAAAGATGGCGATCCGAACTTACGCAGAAATGACTTCTTCATAACGAAAATTCGAAGGAAAGAAAAGTCAAATCTGTTCAGTGAATCGAAGCCCGGATGGCTGAGCGAAAGATGAGTCTGTTACCAGTTCGCCACCCGATCAACCTCGTGGTGGTAAACAGTGATGACAATGTCGTCTAGAAGAAGACGATGGTGATGTAATGCATCGGTATATCTGGATGTGTCGCCAAGTGTCTTGTTAAAATCTTTTTTAAATTTAAGCATTTTAAAGAAAGAGCTTCAGTGAATTCACGAATTCGTCCGTTCAAATGTGTATTTTTTTTCGATCACATTGCACATTGTAGGCAGGGCCTATTTCATCACTAATAATTAGTGTAACTGTTGGTGGTATTGAAATATATATATATATATGTATATATATCGGAATTTTATTATCTTTTATTCAAATATATTATTTACTGACAGAGATTTAATTGCAAAAATAGTAATTTCAATAATTTAATAGAAAAAAAAATAAAATAATACATAAAAATCAGCAATTGAAACACTGTAGCATATATATTTTCTCGATAAAATTTCACATTACAATGACATACTGTTTTGTAGATAAGTAATTTTTTTTATTAAGTTGTTTGTAAGTAATTTTTTTAGAATAGCGTTTTCAAAATATTTCCGAAACAATACAGCAACATTATTCGGTCTTGCTTTATATAGTACGAACCTCCTGATTGTATTTTACTCCCGTTTACTTAAATAAGAGTGATCTCCCTTGGCCGGAAGTTTACAAAGCATGGCGGAGAAGAATGTGGACGATGAGGTAGCAGACAAGATTCCTAGAATGGAGGACCCAATGCCATCTATCAGTGTTCACACATTTCACGAGAAAATAATGGACAGTGAATGTTTTTTCCAAGTGGTCAAGTTGGAAGACAGCTTTCACTTGTGGCTCGGAAATTCACCTGCTACATTTGGATCTTTTACCGTAGCTATGCAAACCAAATTTGTAAGTTGACATGTGTTTGTTTAAAACGTTAGATACAAACAAGTCACCATACTGATATTCATATTTACAGTATATTACAATTTCAAATACCTTGATATAAGATGGCTTGCTGAAGACATCTCAGGAAAAATTAAGTAAAAGCGATAATTCTTATAACGGATTAATTTATATATAGACACGACTATGTATTTTTAGATAGCAGTGTGTTCTCGGACAACTAGTGAATCATTCTTACTGAAACAAAACTTTCTTTTTAATTCAAGGATGTTTCCTTTAGACTTCATAGTTTACATTGTTTTAATGTTATCACAGACTCTTCCTTGGCGATGTTGTCTAATCGTTTGTTCCTCCCATGTTTTAGGTGATGTTGAGGTTATCCCCCTTTTCCCGCTGTGTCTGTAACTGAACAGGTTTTGTTGAATTTGTTTTTCTCTCGTTTTAGGACAAATTACCATCGTCGGTTCCATTACTTGGAGGGATAGATTCACCAAGTAATTCATTAGCTTTACAGTTAGGTAAGATTTTTCCCTAAGTATAGTGTTGATTTCTGTCTCTATATGTATTTTTGTTTCTGTAAGAGATATTTCATATTCTGACAATGTTGTATACAGTATAAAGGTACCTAAACTTGTAGAGTACAAGGAAACTGCACTAACCAAATTGTTAAGATTATATAGTTTTTTATCTGTAGTTGCAGCATATGTGCACATATAATAAGGTGATATTATTTAGAGATCTCCCATCAAAATTGCCAGGTGGCCACTCAAACAGCACCAAAATTATTTTAATAATCTTCTATAGTCTTTATATAAGAAATACAATATTTTTCCAGTTTTGGTTGTTTTAACATTATTTCTTCTTTATGAATTTCAGCAAAGAAAACTGGAAAACAAGTGTTTGTGAGCTGTAATTTGACATTTCAAGGACAAATTATGTCTCTCATAGAGAAAAGAATATCCGAAGAATTGAACAAACATCCTGAGTGTTTTTAATATCAAGGATGAATTACACAGTGTATGTGTCCATACTCAAAGATATGCAGTTATAAATGTGAAAACAGCATTGTCACTGTGGAATTCTGTGTTCAGATGATATTCATCATTTGAGTTGTGCGAGTGTCAAGATAAATGGCAATTATCATCCATTTCACACCATCATTGTCATACCTTAATCAACTCAGCTAAATATCCCATTCATTTTGTACCAATAAATCATGAAAGCTGAATATTCTTGTTGATTTTGAGGTTAACTGTTCCACTAAAATCTATATTGGAATGCACATGTATATACATACAAGTGCAGCAAGGTCATTCCTGTAATGTTATTGTACTTACCAAAACTTTGTCTCTCATGTCTTTTGTGAGTTAATTGTTTATATTAACATTGGTTACGCTCTGATTGAAGAAACGAGTTTTGATGAAAATGCTATTTACTGTAAGTACTTGCCTACACTAGATACTGACGAGAACAAAATATCCTAGTTATGATGCTTCAAGCTGTAATGTTGATTGGTAAATAATTAAGTATACATATTTGAACTGGAAGTCCCTGTCACTACAATACAGATTTACATAATGATCTGGGATGCGAGTACTTTTTATCCTTCTGTAATTTTTCTGGCTAAAAATACATGATGGAATAGATTTTGATGTTTCATTCTTTGATTTCTCACATTTTGTAGTTTAGGTTTAATAATGTCCTAAATTTTCTACTTCAATTATTTGAAATGATTGTATACTCCTTTGTAATTGTAACTGATAAATCAGTTTGTGTTGTGAAAGTGATGATACATTTAGCACACAAATTGGCCACATCTATGTCAAAAAATGTGGACTGCAGGAGTAGATGTAGTATCAGCATGTTTTAAAAATATAACTTGCAGGTAATACAGAAAAAATTGTTGTAAATTTGTTATATGTGTAAATGTGTGGAGGAAATTACAGTGCAAGGATGATATTTGAATGATATACATACCTTGATTTTAGTAATTGCATGGAAAATATCTTTTCAGTACAATACAGATGTAAGACTGGCACTCCAGTGCGGGTCCAAATTTCTGTGTGTAGCTATGTAGCATTTATATTGTGTTGCCATTGTTTATAGTTACTTTTTTTAAACTCATTAATCAGTGTAGATGTTTGAAATGTTTATTGTTAGTGATGGAAGGGACATAACTCTTACATGTACCATGTACTGATAATTTCCTATGATTGAGTATCCAGGTGTTAATACTTCAGTCAGGACAGTGGGTTAATGATACCATTCAAGTCACGTTTATTAATTCTGCCTTACAATTTATATGAAATGATTTATTACCAAGACTGACATTTTTCAAAGAATACCATCTGTCACATACAGTCATATATGGAATAAACCCTAATAATGTCTGTATATTAAGGTTCAGATGGGTTGATCAGCCTAAATGTCAACTCCCTGGCACCAATTTTCATGAATATTCAAGGATTTTGTTATCTTCTAAAGGAGCCCTTTATGATTTAAAATTTAATAAACGTGGCCTGAAATATAGGAACAGAAAAATTCTGAAAATTATCACAGGTTATATGTCTGTTTAGGAATCCCAATAAAAACTTGATAAAGTCAGTGTCCATATGATAAGTGTTTGTGAAAACTTTCAAATGAAATATGTTACGTTTTAAACATGCTAATATTATGTCGTATTTGAATAAATTTTTGTAGACTTTTTGTGATTGTGTTCGTTATTTTATTGGAAAAGATACTTTGCTAAGTTGTAGTATGTAGATAAGTTTTGATTTGGAAAATAGTCCGATCCACATGTCACTTACTATGGGCAATGAAATCAATTGAAATTGATTTTAAATAAATAAATCAAATGATCAACTCCGTAGTTGTATACATAAACAAATATGATGTTTCTAAATGTGATAATGTAGTTATTTAGATGAATTTTGCAGTTTGTTTACCAGACCCAAGGACTAGTAATGGCAGTGTTGAATGGTATTGTTACGCATGGTGAAATGAACCGGGGTCAAAATACCATGATGGTGAAGTGAACGCAGCTCAATAACTTCAGTTCTCTTGGACCGATCAAATTTAAATCTGACATGTTTTTTTGAATGACTGTTATATCAGATTGTTTATGTACAAGTGAAAACAGCTTATATCTACAGATTGATATCCTGTTTTATTCATCAGATGGAATAAACCAAATGTATTATTCTGCCTATAAAACCAGTGTCTGAACACATCTTACACAAGTTACTAAACATTAATTGATTTAGATGTTTCGTTCCTGTTAATTATACAGCCAAACTTGTAGTAAAGGGGAGATGCTAACTGATAAATGTGGGTACGGAGAGGAGAAATCGGGACAAAAAACAATAAAGAATAACAGAATAATGCATTCTATTTATGTAACTTGTTTCATATATTACCTACAATATGTAATGATACAGTAGAGTTAAGTCTCCATTTCCACTTCATCACTTTCTAGTCTATGAGTATAAGCGAACATTTTTCAAATGCTTTAGCTACCACGCAGTAACCACCGCCCCCCCCCCCCCCTACTCAATCTCTCTCTCTTTAACATAAATTGCATATATTGCCTTATCAATTTTTTTATTGCTTATATCCATGATGTATTTTGATGAAAAGTACTGTGATAGTTGTGGAAATTTGTGTCTAATTTTGTAAATATATATAAATCAACTTGACGAATGTTTTAAAATCGTGAAAAGATTTCGATCGAAGCTGGGTCTATCCTGACTTTCTACTGTCTGAGAAATCTATGCGTGATAGCCGAAAATAAATGTCATTAAAACCAAATTTCTGGAGGTTATTTTTATTATGGCGTATATAAACCAATCTGAATGACCTAAGTGTGATAATTATACTAAGGGTCCTAGATTATTCAACATATCGACAGGATGCAGTTTATTGTTATTATTAAAACGTTAATAAAAACGGATAACAAGACCCTGTTTACACACGGTTAACACGCACTCACATGGAAGCGCAAGAGTATAAAAACTCAGCAGACCGTCAGGGACAGGACACCTAACAGGGATAAGGTGAACACTATTCGGGAGCTTTGTTCAGGTGACAACCCGGGCTTATCGGGAAATTCACACTTGCCTTCTTTTTCGAGACGTGTTTTCGGCATGCCTTTGTATTCTATATATACAACAGGTGGAATCTTAAAAGTGGTGGTTCAAATCTATCCATTTAAAAATACACTTATTTAAGAATACCAACGAAATCAGACAGTGAACTGATGTCGGATAATAATTTTTGTAATTTGTAAAATTGAATTTCGGTCTATATGTTCGCTTTATTAATTGTATTTAATTATTCTAAAATGAAATCATTGTGTATCACGGGTTAGATAACGTATATTGGACGTATGTAAAACAGATCCGCTACACCAGAACCCAATACCTACAAAATCTCACCATATTTCACTTTTTTCGCGAAACTATTGCTACGTTATTTGTTATCTTAAACATGAATACCTCTCGATAGGTTGGTTTTATTCGTTGCATTGAATTAAATTGAAGTGAAGTGAAACAACACTATGTATGCAAATGAGCCTACAGCCACACAAAAAAACGTCATGAAACATATATAATAAATACACCAAAGGGAGGATGGTGGGGGTTTCTTTGTCTTTGCGTAAAAAGCCACTATATCCAGATTTGGAAGACGGGACGGTTGAAGGCATAGATAGCTATCCCAACTTTGGCGAGGCGCTTTATTTTATCTTTATGGTGAAGAACAGATTTCTTACAATGTAAAAAGAGGACTTGTGAGCTGGGCATAATTATTGGGGTACCCGTTAAAGACATGAGCGTGTTTCAATGGGATAGGGAAATGATTACTCAGCCATTTCTACATTTCCAATTTGATTGATCAAAACTTAGTCGATCTCTTTCATCAAACACTAATTGGAAAGATAAAAAAAATATTTAAAAGATTATGTATCTGTTACCAAGATATATGGCCCATAGAATACATGTTAAAATAGAAAACAAGTTTTAAAAGATATGTTAGATGTTCCTTTATCGGGAGTTACAGCCCTTGTCACCGTATACTACATCTATATGGTCTGTAGATTGGGAATTCGTGCATTTGGTTCGAAATACACTGTAAGTCCGATTGTCCGCCTGAACTACACTGCAAGTTGTCCGTACATCGTCATGTTTGGACATTCGCTCGAATAAACTACACTGCACGTCCTGGTGAGACATCCTCCAAAATAAAATACACTGCACGTCCTGTTGGGACATCCGCCCCAATAAACTGCACTGCACGTCCTGTTGGGACATCCGCCCCAATAAACTGCACTGCACGTCCTGTTGGGACATTCGCCCTAATAAAGTACACTGCACTTCCTGTTGGGACATCAGCCCTAGTAAAGTACACTGCACGTCCTGTTGGGACATCCGCCCTTATAAAGTACACTGAACGTCCTATTGGGATATCCACCCGAATAAAATACACTGCACGTGCTGTTGGGACCTCCGCCCTAATAAAGAACCCTGCACGTGCTGTTGGGACATCCGCCCCAATAAGTACACTGCACGTCCTGTTGGGACATCCACCCTAATAAAATACACTGCACGCCCTGTTGGGACATCCGCTTGAAGTATACTACATATACGTCATGTTGTCTGACACTCGTACATTGCAAGTTACATTCGATTGAATGAAGTGTGCTATCAACCCATATGGGATTTCTAAAACATCAAAATGGCGATACAATGCCCATTAACTGATGTTTAAATCTCCTGAGGGTTGGACGATCATTGGTTACCTGCTTTCAAGCGGAAAGTCACTCATCCATATCTCTTTTCCAAAAACATGTTACAGCATCACAGAAGGTAAATGTTCTGGATTTGTGACCTTCAAGTTTTTCTTAAAAATATAATCTAAGGACTTCCACTGGATTCTGACAACAAGAAATAAAAACAAAACATGCCACCAGTTAAATTTAGTATGCAAGGTCATTACATTACAGTGTTTAATCTCTACTGAATAACCTCAGTTCCCTTGGACCGATCACATTACAGTGTTTAGTTTCCACTCAATAACTTCCGTTCCCTGGACCAATCACAATACAGTGCTTCGTTTCCACTCAATAACGTCAGTTCCCTTGGACCGATCAAATTCAAATCTGACATGTATACTGCTTTCTTAAATGACTGTTATATCAGACTATGTATGTACAAGTGGAAAACAGCTCATATCTACAGATTAATATGCTATCTGATTCATCAGGCGGAATAAGCCAAATGGGAAAGATGGTATCAAATAGATATACCGCAGATAGTCGTGATTTACATTGCTTAAATTCAAAACACGACACCCCTATAAATAAATATAACTAATAATTATTGAATGGAATTATTTGATCACGAGAGACAACAATATTGTTGTTTGTTGAGTCTGAGGATTTCTTAGATCCTGCACTGGAAATAAACTTAAGTCAGATATCCAATCGAAGGAGTATACATTGCTACAGCAAGGATAAATTGAAAGAAAGAACAAAACCGTGAAATGTTAATAAATGTGTGTCAAATCTCGAAAAAATATAGTAAGATATAAGGTACATCTCATACATCTATTTATTAGTTGATTGAAGGTTAAACAGGTTAAACTAAACTTGATGTAACAAGTAACAATTTTTCCAGGTAGTTATTGTTCATTTGGCCTAGTAAATTATACAATATTTACAGACAATACCTTACATATCGACGGAAACCTAAGGTACTACTTGTATGATCATCCTTTTGAATGTCGATGTTTTTGCGGTCTGTTGAACTGACAACACTAAGAGAAAAGACTGCAGAATTAAGTTGTATCTGCCATTTGGTTCTTCAATCTAAACTTTTAAATTAGTTCAAAACAATAAGAAATATATTGTTGTTTATTATAATCTTTCAAATGTAAACATGACATTATATCTTATATGTGGAACTTCAGAGGATCACAACGGATACACATGGATATTAAAGGTTCCATATACATGTATATACACTGTACTAGCTCACACTTTAACACAAAACAAATAGGAGAGAAACTATGCTAAGATAAGTTATATGGCAGATTTATTTCTATTTTCACACGAGACTGAATTTATAATAAAAAATAGGTTAAAAAATCTTGCCAAGTTCTTTAAGTTCACACTCATATATATATTGCATTCTCTGCATGGCGTTTATTGTTAAACATCTTCAATTGTGCAAAGCAAAAGTTGTCTTGATGGAACAGATGATATGTGCGGTCGAAGTGACAAGTTTTGGGATGAATAACTTCGGTAGTTGTCACTGAAAATTTGTTGTTTAAAATGTCCCATAAGTGTTAGCATTGCATGATATGCATTGTACTTACCTTTGAATGTAGTGTAAAATTACATGAAAGATAGTTATTGTGTATCATCGATATCCTACAGACTGTTGACTTGACAAGGTACATCACTGAAGATAAACCAATAATGATCAGTGATGTTAACCTTGTCATGCTGCATCTTCATTCTTCACTCTATATTTACAAAATGTAGAAACTCGTAGGTTATCACTATTAAATTACATGAACAATCTAGAAACCTGTCACATCTATTTTGTTCATGAATATGTTTCATATATAATGGCAGGGTTATATTTCCTTTGTGGAAGATCGGTATAGACAAAATTATCAAGCTTTCTATGATGTATTTCATCATTTCT